ATATTCCCATTTCCCTCCTCGGGGGGAAACAAATGCTGTGAGATTTCCAGTGTCCAGCTATCTTGCAGTGGATCTGCTTCCTTTTGTTACCCTTATCCTGTCACCATATTTTCACTCAGTTACTCAGCACTCCAGCTCTGTGCGCCAAGGTAAATGAATAATCCTTGAGACTATCCAACAACTCAAGCTTAATAGCCAAACGGCCACCAAATCAGAGAGAAGCTATGGACCAGACTTAGCAGCTCACTCTTTTCTTCCTTTAATTTCCATAAGGTCTTTGGGAGCTCAGCCTGGAAAAGTAGGAACTCTTTACCCAAAATACATTTAGCAATTTTTAACTCCCCTTTCACATGGTCTCCAGCAAGAAATGGAGGGGAGGAGGGGAGCCAGGGAGCAGCTCCTGCTCCAGCTGTTGGGAGCAATCTTGGCGTGCAGAAGAATGTCTCATCCAGCCAGTGTGCTGGAAACAGCAAAGCCATCCGTATTAGTGGCGCACTCCCCGCTGCACAAGCTTGTCGTGACCCCAATCCTGGCTGCTGCGCTGGTTAAGGCCTTTCCTGCTGCAGGAGCTGGATGTACACAGTCATGACAGCCGAGCCTGCCCCTTCCAAACACCTTACTCCTGGCCTAGGCACACTAGCTCTGTCCACTGCCTCTGATGGAGAAGCTGGGGCCATCAACACCCCTGCAGCCATAATGTCTGGGGCTGCTCTTGCTGTGTTTTCTTGAAGCAGAGCCAGTTTCTTCTGTGCCTGCTGCTGGCCAGTTGGTGAACGAGGCTGAGCCATACACTGAAAAGCTACATTCAACGATGCCCACTCCTTCCTTTTCATGTTTTAATCATGCAGTTCCTGGGTTTGGGAATATGAGGCTTTTGCTCTCACATCTGTGATAAGCAGCACTGCACCTGGGAGTCTTGGGCGACCTTGTGTGTCCGATGGAAGAGCAATTGTGATCCAGGGCCAATCAGAGCTGCAGCTCTTCAGCAAAGATAATGCGTCTGGTCACAGATGCAAAACTCATCTCCTCCCCCAAGGGTCCAACAGGACAGCGAACATCTCAGCAGCCCGCTGCATTTTCACCTGGCCCAGCTGGAGTAGACTGATGCATTCACACAGCCTGAGAGCTGAATGGAGAATGACCGCACCCATTCCTCCCTGGTATCTGGCGGGGAGAGCACTCATCCATCCACCTGCCGAGGCACAGAACAAGAGACAGCAAGGGAAAGGGGCAGTGGTGCCTGGTGGTTCCACTCTAGCCCAGTCGGTGCCTGTTTTAAGAACTCTGGGAAAGTGACGAAGATGAGAATAGAGAAACAGCATCACGTGGGCACCGACATATCTATTAATAGAACCTTCATTAACTGAACATTATTCACTAATCAAACATTCATGAGGTGTTTACTGTATACTGGGAAGTATGCTTACTTCGTGGCAGGTTTCAAAGATTCAATGTGATTCTTTTATTTAATATTCAAAATGGCCTTATGTTCTCCTCTGGGGACCCGCGTGATTATCACGCCTTACAGGTGAAGAAATGGGAGTTCTTTGGGCCACCTTCCAGTCTGCAAGTGCACAAATAGGAAGTCAGGCATTTGCTGTGCTGTTAGGGATGCAGCCCAGGGTCTCTAAAGTGAGCTACATCTCCAGCCCTTTAAAAAAAAATTTTAAGATAGGGTCTTGAAAAATTACTAACTTGTCCAGGCTGGGCTTGGACTTATGATTCTGCTGCCTCAGCCTCCCAGAATGCTGGGATTGCAAGTGTGTGCTATCATCTCCAGCTTGCCAGATGTGTTATGAATTCAGAGTCTGTGCAATTTCTAGTTCACTCTGACCCTCTTGTTGTATCATAAGAAAGGATGCGCAATAATAAAGTTTATTTCATTACACTGAAATGCCGGTTGAATACTAAAACTGGGATGGTGACAACATTCAAAAAGCTTGTGATTAGAGCTACAGGCAGTTATGGTATTGGTGTAAAAGTAAAGGAAGGAACAGGAAACTGCAACATGAATCTGCTTTGTGGGTCTGTTCTGTGCAATCAGAGCCCTGCATTTGGTGTCCGTGCTGAGGGGACAAACCTGGCCGGACCAAGGCCACACTGCCTCCAGAGCCATGACAGGTCATTTTGAATCCCAAAAAATGTTAATATTTCCAAATCTAGGTAGACTTAATGCTGAAATCTTGATCAATGGTTTTTAACTATGTAACGAAGAATTAAGATATCTATGTAAATAAACAAATATTTCACAAGAATCTACTTCATATCAGGACCTAGAGTTGGTCCTGAGAATACGCAAATGAAAGATACCTTTGTGCTCCAAAGGAAATTATAACTTCTGAAAGGCTTCAAATAAATTTGGTTGAAAATTTCTTTAATACACATGCTACAGTGTGGTCTTGGTCTTTTACAAGTGTCTTGACCCTGAACAAATCCAGGTACCATGGTGGGAAGGTTGCCTGAGGCAGGCACAGGGGACTTGAGACCCGGCTCAATTCTTCCAGCCCTCAGTTGATGGTAACCACCATTGGTTAAAAGTACATCTCTTGATGTTTATTGATCTCACTTTCTCATTTATGAATTGAGAGGTTAGAGTGATAGGAAAGGACTCGTATAGTTCTGGCACCTATAATTCTTTGAACCTATATATTTTTTCTTTTTAAAATTAATTTTATTGGTATATTTTAGGTATAGAATATAATGCCATTCATCATTCAAAATGTGCACCTTTACATAACGTGTCTTGGTTCTTATTTTTCCTCACTCCGCTACCTTCCCTTCAACCTCTCCAACCCTTCCCTATTTACAAAGACTTTTTTCATTTTCTCATATTAATTCCATTCCTTTCTTTCCTTTCCCCTTCCCCTTTCCCTTTGCCCCCTTTCTTCCTATTTCACATCATCTATTATACCTTTTAGTCCTTACTTATACTTTCAGGTTCTCACACCAGAGAAACTATTCGGTATTTCCACATGTGTCCTATTTATATCACTTAAGAGTATGGCCTCAGTGTGCACCCATTTATATAAATGTCTCTAGTTTCTTATTCTTTATGGCTGAGTAGTACTCTGTTTTATATATTTTTTTTTAAAGCACATTTTCTTTATCGAATCTCCAGTTGATGGGCAATTGGGCTGCTTCTAAATTTTAACTATTACAAACTGCTGCTGTGAACATGGGTGCACATATATCACTGTGGTAGGATTCTTGTAATTCCTTTGGGAAGATACCCAGCAAAGGAATAGCTGGGTCAAATGGGACCTCTAATTCTAGCTCTCTGAGGTCTCTCCATACTGATTTCCACAGTGGTCGCACCAGTCTGCACTCCCACCAACACTGGAGAAGGGTTCCTTTCTCCCCACACCCCCACCAGCATTTGTTATTGGTTGATTTCATGATAGCAGCCATTCTTTTTGGGGTGAGGTGGAATCTCAACATTGTTTTCATTTAAATCTCTCGAATGACCAGTGATTTTGAACATTTTTTCATATGTCTATTTGCTGTTTCTACTTCTTTGTCTGAGAAATGTCTGTTCATTTCAGATGCCCATTTTTGGATTGGGTCTTTAAATTTGGGAGGTCTGATTTTTTTTAAGTTCTATTTATATTCTAGATAGTAGACCTTTGTCTGAGGAACAGCTGGTGAGAATTTTTTTCCCACATTGTGGGTTGGCTTTTCACCCTGTTAGCAGTTTCTCTTCCTGTGCAAAAGCTGTTTAATAAGAAGAGATTCCCACTTGTTGATTATTTGTGCTAGTTTATGTGCAAATGAGGTTTTGTTCATACAATCTTTCCCTACACCAGTGTCTTTAAGAGTTCTGCGTCACCTCTCTTCTGGCCAGTTTAGTGTTTCTGTTTTAATATTTAGATCTTTAATCTATTTTGATTTTATGAGCCTATTATTTTGAAAAGTAAAAGTCAACCATAGTAGAAATTGGAGGCTGTGTCAGTCAGCCACTAATATTCCAGAAAGAAAACCAAGACTAATTTTTTTTACTGCAGCCACTATTCCTACCAAATAATTTTCTCCTCTGTGTCCATTGTACCTCTACATGGCTGTTAACCAGACTTCAGCTTGACAAGTTTAAAATTCCATCTCATTTCCAGCCCACTCCAAGCTCAAGTAGCTAATGAGCAGAAAAGTGACCAGAGATGAGAAAGGATAAAAAGCTAACTACTTGGGTGATAACAAAGAATGTGACAGCTGAGAACTGGCTGTAACTTGTTGATTTTTCAGGGAGCTTCTTGAATAAACACATATGACTTAATTTTTTAACATGGTCTATATAAGACCCACTGCTTTCACCCAGGATAGGTGCAAAAAGATAAAACATAGTTATTTTATTAAAATAACATCAGAGATTCAAAATCAGAAATTATTAAAATGATGTCAGAGATTCAAAATCAGAAGAAAGGCAGGCAAAGAAGGCATAGAGAAAAATCTGAGCATGTTCTGCAAAACAGTGTATGGTAAAGGACTGAAAGCTCTAAGCCACAAGGCCTCCCTAGCATGAGCTCCATCTTCTGCCCCCTGCGGCAATCCCAGTTAGAACTTCCAGGATGGGTCTTGTTGGTGGCCCCCAGCAGCCCCTCTGCCACGGCCTGGAGTGCCCTCCAAGGCCCATGTGTTGGAGACTTGGTCCTCAGCCTGGGATGCTACAGGAAGGTCATGGAACTTTCCAGAGGCAGAGCCTAGTGAGAAGTTTTGGGTCATGAAGGATGTGGCCTTGAAAGAGATACTAGAAGCCGGCCCCTTGCTCTTCCTCTTTCTTTCTGAGGCCGTTAAGTGGTTGGTGTTGTTCTACCACATACTCATGCCAGGACATGCTGCCTCACACAGGCCCAAAAACGATGGGCCAAAGTAAACCTATCCTGCCTCCAAGCTTTTATCACTGGTACTTTGTAGCAGTAAAAAAAAAAACCAAAAAACTGGCGGACAGCTCTCCGCCTGTGGCCCCAGATAGAGCCCCTCTCTGTAGCTGCAGCTCTCCTACCTTTGTGGACTTACTTGGCAGCAGCATCCTTCAGTAGCGTCTGTTCTTTCGGCTCCCGTTCTTCAGGCCAGCGGCCACTGGAATCCAGATTTGAAAGCTGGGCCTTGTACCATCATCCCCTGCATATGCCTCTTCTATTTTACTACACCTAGGATTCCGGCCCTAGAAAGAAGATAAGGATCTAAGGATCTGCAGACCTCTTTGCTCCTCCTACCCAGCCTTGCCACTACTGGACACACACACACACACACACACACACACACACACACACACACACACACAGCCATCCAGGACTTACTTACTTCTGACCAAGGGTACAGTCCCTCTGCGTTCCTTGCACCCCATGGCTCCTGATGTCATTAGTGGCATCACGGAAGGAAGACACATGATGCTACACAGGGTCACACACCACTCCTCCAATCATTCTTCTGCTCCCGGAAAGAGAAACAATACTCCCACCCTTGCCACAGGAACCCTCCAAGGGATATGTGACCACCAGCTATGGGGTTCCTTCGCAGAGGCCAGGTCCATACTTGAACCCCGAACGACAGTGATAATGTGGGGCAACAAGACCATGGCAAAATCAGATTATGACATTATTCCTCACCCATTTCATAACTGGATGCAAGTGCTCATGATCTAGGATGAAATTTGGCATTTGAAAATTATTTGTAAATAGTGAAGGTATTGGAAATAGTTGGGAATAGGACATTAGGCCAAAGCTCTACTTTTCTTTTTATGTACAATCCCTTTTCCAGAAGGAATAAAGAACAGATGTGAAAACAAGTTCAAGGCACAGTCCTGAGTGTTCCACATCCTAAGCAAATTAGCCCCTAAAAGGATCCTGAATTTTTAAAAGTTTTTTTTTTAATCCTAGCAGTTTGTCAGTGAAGTCTAACCATAGGTTTTATAAAGTTCTTTATAGTTTGCAAAGAGCTTTTTCTTTAATAGACAGCAGCATAAAATTATTAAGCTGAGAATCTGGGTTTGAACCAGGTATTCAGCTTTATGTTCTAATGTCTTCTAAAAGTTCATCTTTATCTAAAAACTTTGTGGTGGATATGAAATAGATTATGAAAGCAAGAAGGGTATCTTTGGCAGTTTAGGACTCCGATGGTTTTGAGAAAACCTGACTAAATAGAATGATAAAAGTTGGAAGGGATTTTATACTGCTGGGAAGCCAAGATCACTTTTTACATGCAGGTACACAGAAGGTGATGTGATTTTACCCAGTTCCCAAAGCAGTATTCTCTGACATCCTTGGCTGTATTTCAGAGAGCCCGACGCCACACCACAGCCATGCCTGGCAACCACACAGCCTCCTGCTAGTGCACAGATCCATGATTTAATCAGATGCCCGATTTTCTCCACCAAGGGAGAGCTTTGTTGGCAACCTATTTGCAGGACTCCATTCTCCTTATCAACAATGGACTAGTATACTGGCATGTGATGGAATTCAGGTCAAGGAGAAGGGAGAAAGAATAAAGACAAGGGCTTCTGATGAAGTTTCTTACAAAAATATAAGACAGCAGCCCAATAGGATCAGGCACAGCTTGTCAACTGACCACTTGTGGTAGTCATTAATGTTCCACCTCACCCCACAAAGAATGGCTGCTATCAAGAAATCACACAATAACAAATGTTGGCGGGGTTGTGGGGGGAAAGGAACCCTCCTCCATTGTTGGTGGGAGTGCAGACTAGTGCAACCACTATGGAAATCAATATGGAGATACCTCAAAGAGCTTGGACTGGAGGTGCCATTTGACCCAGCCATCCCTCTGTTGGGTATCTTTCCAAGAGAACTAAAAGAATCATATCACAGAGAAGTATGTGCACCCATGTTTATAGCGGCACAGTTTGTAATAGCTAAATCTTGGAAACAACCTATTTGCCCATCCGTTGGAAACTGGATAAAGAAGTTGTGGTTTTTCTATAAAATGGAATATTACTCAGCCATAAAGAGCGAGAGAATAGATTCATTCATAGGAAAATGGATACATATTGAAGATATACTCCTAAGTGAAATAAATAAGTCCCACATGTGTAAATACCAAATAGTTTCCCTGGTGTGAATATTCTGCAACAATGCATAAGATTCTAATAAGATTACTGACATTTAGAAATGGGAGGAAAGGAGCTAAAGGTGTAGGGAAGGTGTGATACGTAGGGGAAGAACAAAAAGGGAAAAGAAAAAAATGTGAGAGAATGAAAAGATGAAAATAAAGTGTTTGTAGATGGGGAGGGGAGGAGGGGGTGAAGGGAGGGCAGAGGTAAGGGGAAAAAATGAGAATCAAGAGTTGCCATGTAAAGGTACATGATCCCAACAATGAATGTAACTGTACTGTATCCCTAAATGTACCAATAAACTCAATAATTAAAAAAAAAATATATATATATATAAGACAGAAGATGGTGGTGGCACATTCTCTTGTGTTTGGATGCTGGTGGGTTTGGATGTGATGGCAGGGACTGTGGCAGTTGGGCTGCAACCTGAGGAACCAGCATTAGATTGAAGCACATTAATTAACCTTGTGGAGTTTAAATTTAGTGCTTTGCCTAAGCAAAATAATACATGATTGTTATTTTAAACTACTTTCATTTACAGTGTCAGGCATCGTGCTTAAATAAATGAGAGTGACTAAAATAACTCAGTGGTTGAAAAGATGATAGGGTGAGTAGACAACAGATGATACAGGCTGGATGGACATGTAGATTAATGCAAGTATATAACTGTAGTCTACTGTTTAGTCTTCATGACAACATAAAACAATTATTATGTAGAAAAAACAAGTAAGGAAACGTAGGCTCCAAGAAATTAAACTTCTGTCCAAGGCCTCACAGATCTTGTGTAGTTTAACAGGTTCAAGCCCAGCCTTCTACCTCACCCAAAGTCCATGTCTTCTAGAGATGTGGGGAGTATCTGACCAGCAATGAATGGCTTCTATACAGTAATGAATCATTTCCATTCTCACGGTCCAAACAGTAATTCAGTAACAATAGCAAAGACGATTGTATAACAGCTTTTATAACTCTGAATTCTCATAACACAATGAGGGCCAATTTCTCTATTTATCTACACAATAATCAAACAAGAGATCCAGCTGGGGTGATTACAAAATCTACCATTTAAGTTAGAATTTTATTCCCCCTTTGTGGTGCTGGAGATTGGACCCAGGGCCTCACCCACGCTCTGCTGCTGAGCTACATCCCTAACCCTTTTGCATTTTCAATTTTGAGATAAGGTCTCATTAATTTGCCCAAGCTGGGCTTGAAGCTGCAATCCTCCAGCCTCAGCCTCCTGTGTAATTCAAAACTTCTGAGAGTTAGAAGATATACTGTTAAATAAGAAGCCAGGACAGGGGGCCTTTACCCTGTTGGGGGTTAAATGGGAACCAGGGCAAAACTAGAGGAAGCTGGAGGACACCCCAAGACTTCACTTGCCATCCTATGGAACGTGGAAAAGTGTCCTATCACTCTCCTTTGTATCTGAATCTATCTCCACCCCTTCCCATATTACATCTGTTCTGACATTAACAGAGCCCAGGAGTTTGGGGATGTCTCAGGGGCTGGAATCAAATATTTCCAGAAAGACCACAAGCCAGACAGGCAGTAATAAGGGTCCTTATCATTTTAGCAATGGAAAGGCAAAGAACAATGTAGGCGAGGGGAAACTGTGCCACGAAAAAATTGAAATAAAGAAGAAAACAAAATAGAGAGAAAATACAAAAGAGCTGGCCCTGAAAGAGAGCTGCTATCCAGGAGCGTATTTTACCTGCCCTATTTCACCATAACCCTGGGATACTTTTAATTACTTGGCTCTTTTACAAACAGCGTCTGACTATTTTGTCAGAAGGTCAAGGATAACAGCAGGACCTGCCCTTTCCTTCTGCTTAAAGGGATGCCACCCCCATATACTTTCAGGGACACCCCACCTGGAATGCTTGTTGAGAAGGCCAGGCATTATCCTGGACCATCTCCCCCGCCAAAAAAAAGCCTCTCCCTAAGCCGGCAGCATCAGACACTGTCTAATAACCCAGAATAAGATTTTGTCTGAGGTGCAGCTAATACTGAGCAGGTCCCGTATTTAGTACTCACACTGAGAAACATCTGTAGAGCGGAATTAGAGGGCACAGAAAGAAAACTGCTGCACAAAACACAGGCCATAAAAAAGGGAACTGAATTTTGGAGGAAATAAGACCTGAGATTTCCTTTTGCCCTTTTTCCGCTGTTTAGGAAACACGCCCCTTTTCCCAGATGAAATTTCCTATTACTCTTAGCGCACTCGTTTAATTAAAATATCCATTTATAGCTTCAATAAGCAATATGATTTAATAGAGAAACTTACGTTTAACTAAAGCTAATTAAAAGGATGCTCATGTGTAAAATTCAGCCTGTTTCCACCTATGGAAAAGTCATGCCCACGGGGGAGGGGTTAAAAATCATTGTCGTTTTCTTATCTGTTCCTTGTCCTCTAAGCCTTGCTATTGTACTTTTCTCCCTTAACTGTAAATCTTTAAAATTGCACAACTTCAATTAAGAAAAAGAAAAGGCAAACCGAGAGCCAGTTTTCATAGAGGAATGTTGTTGGCTGAGGCCCCAGATATTTTTTTGGTATCTCTAGTGAGTTGTTTTGTAAAATTTCCAGGAAGTTTGGGAAAGCTCCGCATTGACATCACTCAGCAGACCCTGGAAAAGCGTCAGCTGGGAAGCACAGAGGCCGGGCTGGCTGTCTGGGGGCCTGGGCCGGGACCCTGCAGACTCACTTAGGGCTGATGGGTTTTGCAGAAACTTCTCTTTCTCCCTGCTTTCTTGCATTGTAGTCACTTTAGTGGGGAATATTTTAACAACCTAACCACATTTTGTTTTGTCTTTGTTCTGCGTTTTCTTCCTGCTAGGTGTTTCTTTATTAAAATAAACTCTTTGTTAAAATTTTTTTTTTAAAGTCTGAATTGGGATATAAACAGTAAAACAAAATTTGGGCTTATTTTAATTAAAAGACATGTCGGTCTACATGACTGATGAGTTCCTGCATAAAACACTATAGATTATTTTTCATATTTAAAATCACTTTGATTTATGAAGCTTGCCCATTTTACATTAAAAGCAAATTCATTTCAAATCACTTTTCTAACTGGTTAGGCTTTTTTTCACCCTCCCACATT